TGGGCAAATGTTTTAAAAACCGTTTTTCCTGGAAAAAAGGCCGGGGTGATTATTTTTTTTTCGCCAAAAAAGGGGGGGGATATTCGAGAAAAGGGGATTAATTGGGGGAGGGGATTATTTCAAAAATTTCCCGGGAAGTGGTACCCTTAATATTTTGTTTTTTTTTCCCAAGAAAAAAAAAAAAAAAAAAAAAAAAGCACGTCAAATCACCTGAACAGATTTAGATCCTTGATAAATTTTCACAGCCCGAATCGTCACTGATCAGATTTGCTGAATCTCACTGCACTTTAACTTGACAGGCGGGATAAAAGAGAGAGAAGATGGCGAGAGGGGCGGGGGAGGGGCGATTATTCGAGGGAGGCGTTTAATCGAGGAAATACGGTATATATTTTTTGTTTTATTCTTTTGTTTACTTCGTCATTGCCTTGCCGTAAGGATCAGATTGCCGTTTCATATTTTTCTACAAGTTTAATTGTACTGATTCAGGTCTACAACTAAGAGATCCCGCATCATTCATTGGTTTGTTGCTGTGGACTTGTTGATATTTTATATAAACCAAAATGGCCAAAGTGTATACGCGTTTTCAGACTAAAACGGCTCAAAAACCCTACCCGATGGGGCCGCATGTACCTATATGGCCTATATAAGGGAGTACCCCAGCCCCCACCCCCCGGGGAAAGGAGATGGCACAACAACATCACCATTCTTTTTAGTCTGTGCCAGACTCTCAGATAGTAGAAAGGTTGCGAGAACGAGGTCAAGGGAAAATGGAACGCTTGCGCAAGTGGAATAGGCTACCATTCTCTGGCGGGACTGTCATACTCAGGGCAGGGTACTTTCAACTACGTACAGAACTAATCGTATCCGCCCAGCTACGCAGACAGCGGCGGACTGGCATTCTTCCCGTAGAGTAGAAGGTCCCGGCCGTGTACAATAGTTTTGACATTAAGAGAATTGATAGGTGTCATGTCTAGTTTTTATTACAAAAGAAAACAAAACAATTACCAACTACAAACAAAACAGAAGAACAACAACAGCCGGACATGTATGGGCAAGGTATCCCAGGGAGAACCATCCTCCTTTCGACCCGGGCGTAAAATAAAAATCTTTGTCAGTGGACACCAATTGCGAACTTAGGTCTTTAAAAATTTGGTCTAAAATCGAATCTTAAAGAACGTGTGCAACAACACGAGTTGCTTACACAGGTCAGCACCGTTATTGAATGACCCACTTTTGTAAACGAATTAGTGGTGACTTATCGCCATGATCCTACATACTTGGTTCAGTATTCCCGTGCACGTGCCAGATGGAGATTCCGGGGGGGAGGGGGTGGCAGTTTTCGATTGCTCAAAAGGGGCCGGAAACTCTAATCTTGCAAAGCGCGAGCTCACCAGATCAAGGCGCCAAATGATAGGGAAACTTTTGAGAATAACCAAGCTGATTGAAACCTATAGCAGATAATTAAATATGAGCGACAGCTCACTGATAAAACTGAACACCGATTAATTGAACAAGGCAAGCCTCATGATTCTGGGGGACCTCGAATCGTTCTTCATGTAGTATAGTAGGTGAAGTCGCTCTTGATCTAAGCAAGCTAGGGATTAGCATATACTGTATATTTGTCTGTTTTCAACCCGTAGGTCTGAAAGATCCCCTGCTTTAAATCCTGTTTGCCAGAATTGCGGAACCTTTAAAATTACGTAACCCGACGAGAACCGGAAATTATCACGCTTAAGAGGCATTGAAATCCCAATTGTTGATAGAGGGGACGGGAACTCGCTCATTGTACTTTGAAGGCAGGGTGGTCTGCTTAATGTTGCTTGTCATAATAACCAAACATTTATAAAGAAAATAAGGACTTTTATTGTATAGAGAAGAGTCATTTACAATATTAACAACTTGCCGAGGCACATATCATCCGGAATGAAAAAAAATATATATGCTCACCTTTTAACAGTATAACTCAACGAAAAATTATTTCTTGATTATATTTATGTCTTTTCTGGCCGTGTGCGAGAAACACACGCTTCTTGAAAATACCGGAAAAAATGCCTGGAAACTATAATATACCGTTGAACAACAGGGAAATAACACTTTATACTCTCGAACGCTGTTCTCGAAAATAACATTGTAAAGCACGTAGTGGGCAAGAAATACACGTTTGTTGAAAATACCGGATAAAATGCCTGAAAACTATAATATACTGTTGAACAACAGGGAAATAACACTTTATACTCTCGAATGCTGTTCTCGAAAATAACATTGAAAAGCACATATTTACATTAAACCTAAGAAAATTAGCATGAATGACTGTAATAACACCGGCTATGTTTTGCTTGTGAGCCGCGAAAAGGTGAGAAAGTATTTCCGTTGTCCGAAAAGGTTTTATATCTAAATTCAACCCGTGCATGCGTCGTAGCAACTAGCCTAAACCCTTTCATACCATGCCAGAGATGTATATTATGAAAATCTGGTTTTAATTTTTGTGTAGCAGAATATAAACTTAAGTGGGGCGCTTGGAGGTAAATGGGTTAAATAGTATGCCTTACAGACACTAGTGGCTCGTAATTCCAGTGATATAAAAATCTAATTATGCGCAAGGGGGCATATTGTGCAGACTGCTTAGAAAGTCGATTGTTTTTGTTTTTGTGCAAAATGAAACTTGAGATTGTTTTTTAGTTTGTTTCGCGAAGGGATGACTGAAAAGGCTTAAACTAGCTAACTAACGGTTACATTTTCATAACGCAGGTAGAGTTTTTCCTCGTGCGATAATGCGTTTTCCTGTGCTTAGCTAAATGATCGGACCGAGAAAATCTCTTATCGCAGAGGTCACAAATAAATGGCTTTATCCCACTGTGAGAGCGCTTGTGGCGAGCTAACTCATCGGATCTTGAGAACCTCCAGTTGCATCCTTTCCAAGTACAGGCAAAAGGTTTTTCGCCAGTATGTCGTCTTATATGTGCCTTCAAATGTGAGCTCTTCGTATATACCTTGGTGCAGCCCGGGAAATTGCACTTGTATTCCCGCGTAGAAACGCGACGCCTGGCACGTTCCCCCCTGTTTCCTGCCTGCCCCTTGCAGATTGCACCTGGCTGGCCGTCGAGCGGGAATTCCACAACTGCAGCTTGACCTCCGGCCCCGTAATATTGATAACGAGCTGCTAGCCCTTCCAAATTATCGGACACATCGCTACTAGCGTCGCTCAAAGACGCAGTATCGCTCGATTGGTCATTGTCAGGTAACAACAAGCTCGCTGATAGCACCAGGTTATCTTTACCACTGGCGCCCTTCTCGATTTCAAATGTTTGCTTGTAATAGGAGTTGAACACTGAGGAAATGAGGTGCTCTTTTAGTTCGCCTACTTCATCGCATTCTGACGCCAGAATAATATGATCATCCATCGAGTCCACGATGCCCTTGGAAAACAGATAATCAAGGTATACGTCGACTGGACAAGACAAACCAATGGAATCGATATGTTGGTCAGGAAGACCATCTGGGCTCTCGGAGTATCCATAAAGCGGATATTTTCCCTCCAATTCATTGAAATCTAAAGCACTTGGATCCATAAACTCCTCAAACAGCAAATCGCAATCCATGTCTTTCTCAGCACTCGGCTCTGCAAAGCAAAGTTTGGGCACGCTTCTGGAATTATTATAAAAGACTTTGTTTTTCCGCGTTCAAACTTTCTCTCAAGCCGAGCGAGCACTTTAAGGCATGTAGCTAGAGCACTGAGCGTTTGACGGTTTAAATACCCACAAGGTCTTGGAGCGATGCTATTGGTTAAGAAAAACACCAGCAAGTATCATCGCTGATAGCGATCTAACAGAAACATTGACTTCCGATTCTCTGATTGGACGCAGACGCCAATAATGCTGCAACAAAAAATCGAACTGTTGCAAAATTTTAAAGATCTCTAGTTTTGTTAACCAAGATTAATCCCTTGACCTTTTGACTTCTGAATCTGTTTTTTCATGTTCTTGTCAGAGCTTGTTCCTTGCACTGAGCAGAGGCTAATTTTTTCTTCATTTTCTCATCGAGCTTTACATAAGGCAGATACCGGCTTTGGCAGGTATTGTCTTGGAATACAAATTAACAGTTCAATGGTTTTCAATAGGTGCCAAAAGCGATTCATTCATGTCAGAAATTTGTTTTTTTATCACACATCAAAATCCTTTGTTTTCCATCCGATTAGACACATTAAACCTACGACAAAAAAAGTTGACCCGCGGAAGAAAAGTATATACTCAGAAAAATGGCTTTACTTTCCGCAAGAAATAAAACCTGCTCGACATTCCGCTTTTCTTGGTCCAATTAAACTCCATGGGATGCCAATCTCTCGGTTTAATTGGTGCCAAAAATAATTGATTTTGCATGATTTTTAACACAAATTCTTCTTACTTAAAATAATTTAAACTCGGTAAGCAAACAAATCCGCGTATTATTTTCTTTTCTTCGTTCAAGTACGTGCATAGCTAAGCAAACATGGAGGAAATCTGATTTATCTAAGCGAGGCTTAACGTTTCGAGGAAACATGCAGCACGCATTAGCAGACTCGGACAATGTGGCATATAATACATCTCAATATCTTTTTCATTTTGGTCTCACTTCATCTAGATTTACGTAGCACCTCCACGGGCGTTTATTATAAGACCTTCAGCAGCCTTAAACAGGAACCAAAGTTGTCAGCGCTTAAGGTTCCCCTGGCACGTGCTTCGCGTGAGTGACGTCAAAGGCATTTAAAGATAGCAACATAACAAATTGTTCCGACCTATAGTCAGCTATTTATTTGGCTCTTGACTTGTATTTGCACGCGAGTAGAGACCAAAAAGGAACGTGACTTTATTTCTCTGAAAACTACAGCGGAAATTTCTGGTCTTTCTAATCTTAAACTCTGCGGAGCACAACATTTATTAGGTGATACTGGAATTTTATCGGATTACTACCTTATATTGATTCCAGATACCTCCTGTGCCAAATCATTTTCTTGTGTGGTTATTTACCGGGGTGGGGGGGGGAGCATTGTTAAATGGTACATATTTTAGCAGCACAAGTACCACTTTATACGGAATTTTTAGCCTGTGTAGCAACCGTTTCCGCCCGAGGTCGTCGAGAAAATTGGAAGGGTGGCAAAGGGCCAAAAGGGAATTTTCCTCTTATCTTCTCCCCCTCACTATTATTATTATTATTATTATTATTTTCCTTCTAGCCTGAGTATCAGGCGTTTCTGGGGAAAAGGGGAAAAATGGAAACGAAAAAGGAAAATCTCCTCTCCCCTAGCCCCGTAGGAAGGCCTGATACTCAGGCTATTTTCCTTCCTAAGGTCTGTTTACTCCCCCCGTCCGTCCCTAAGATAAGTGATACATTAGATAATAGCAACACTTTTCCGATATCAGAAGCGCGGGGTTATAGGCTCCCGCGTAAACTTTATTAGATTATGTCTCAGCGGTGAGGAGCAATGACAGCCTGCTAAATTCCAGACAAAATATTGATAAAAGATGATACCTAGTGTACGGTATTGGTATCAGCCGGTCCGAAGAGGTTTTGCCTAAACTTTGTACCCATTCGGCTTGTCCATTCCAAGGCCCTAAAGGACGGACCATTAGAAAACGTATGGGGGTAGGTGGGGGCGGGGGGGGGGGGAAGGGGGGAGGAAGTACAAAAAAAGAATTCCCCCAACGGAAAATAAAATGAAAAAAATCCATGCCCCCCAATTAATTCAAAAAAATATTAATGCAATGCCCTAAAAAAAATTTATAAAAGAAAATCGAAAACAAAAAAAAAATTGGGGGGGGGGGGGGGGGGGGGGGGGGGGGGGAGAAGGGGGGAGAAAATAAAAAAAAAAAATGCCCAAAACGGAAAATTAAAAAAAAAAAAATCATCCCCGCAAATTAATTCTAAAAAAAATTCATGCTATGGCCAAAAAAAAATTTATACAAGGAATCTGATAAAGAAAAAAAAATTCTTGCGGCTCGGAAATTCCCCCCGGCCCCCCCCCCCCCCAAAAAAAAACTTTTCTAATGGTCCGTCCCTAATACGTAGGACTTTATTTTTTCTGTCATCAGGAGGGCTCCTGCTGTCATTTAATTTTTTTCCTTCGGGGGGACAAACGGGGCGGGGTCGGGGAGCTAGGAGGGGGATTCAAGTATAATCAGCGTAAAGTAGAAATCCGAACGAAAACACCTTTTTACCAGGCAGCGTTATTCCAAGGGTCTTCCCTGGTGCCCAGGCTTTAAATGGAATTTTCTTTGGAGCTTCCCATGAGTCTTTGCACTCTTAAAAAATGGTTTTCATTGTTGAGCTTTAAAAAGTTTTGAGGTTGGGAGGGGGGATTAAGGGTGGGTAGGATTACTGGGGCGGCATCAATCTTAACCTCCCGTCTTAACCTAACCTGACATCAGGCGTTTATTATTATTTTTTTTTGCTTCTTTGTTTCTTTGGCTCATAAAGGGATAATAGGGAGAGGGCATGATCTCAGGCTAGTCTTAACCTTCATTAACTAGCCAGTGTACATCTGACATCTCCCCCCAGGAAATAAAAGACAAACAAACAAGCAAACCAAAAAAGAAACAGACAAAGAACAAAAATATTAAAACTAAAGTACACAGGTCATTATTGAAATGACTACTTAAGACAGGATTCCAAAACAAGCCCAGATCATTTCGAAAACACAGAAAACCAAAAAATATAGCACAAGTAAATTTGTTTTGGCATAAATTGTCAAAACTTAAATGTTTTTGATGTCTAAAACCGGGTTCTCTTCAGCTTATGATGAAGGTAAAGGAGCACACATGCACCCGGTATTTTTTTTTCCTTTTCAAGAAATTTTTAACTTTCACATTTCCACAGAAAGCAATTCTTTTGAGTTATTTTCAGGAATAAAGCAGATTCTCTTTGCATGACTACTGCAATGGGGGAAAAGACCTGCACGAGAGTGACTTTATTTCTTAACGCCCTAGCCTATGAGCAGGCTCTGCTTTAAGGGGCGTCATGCAAAGTCACGCAAGAGCCACTGGCCACTTGAAATGGAGAACTTTCTTGTAGGCTTTGAATGTCCCAAAACAGAAAAAATATATGAACTAGGCCTAAATCTGACATTTCCACTCCCAGTCTTAAAATCCAAAAGTTAAATGTATATTGACTTCAGCACTGATGAGAACTTCCTTTAGTATAGTTCTAAACATCTTTATTTGTTAATTAATGTGGTGTGAAGCACACGTTTTGAACTGGATTTTGTGCATTATTCCTACAACATCTTTTTCATTGTCCTCCTCATATTGGTGTTGTTTAGAGTCATCCAGTAAATTTATTTATTGTCTCGTTGAAGAACCAGTCGGAAGGACAGCTTCAGACTCCAGTCTATAAGCTTTTCATGGTGTTGCCTCCCAAGTTTTGAGTATTATTCAACCATGCCATCTTCATTGTCCTCCTCAAATTCTTGATATTTAGAGTCATCCAGTAAATCTATTTCCCTTTGTCTTATTGGAGAACTGGTTGGAAATAGCTCCAGACTCCACTGTGTGAGTTTTTCATGATGTCGCCTTCCACACAGATGCTTCATCTGAAAATCAAAAGAAACAGAAAATGCATAATCAAAGACTCAAGGAATGTAAATAGTTTTAAACGTAATGTTTTTAAGTTTTTAATATAGCTACTTACGTTTAATTTTTACTTATACTTATTTTTAATTTTTTATGCATTTTTTATATCTTTTTAATCCCTTTGCAATTTTATAGCTTTTTTTGTTTTTATAATATATATCTAGTTTTGAGGTCCTTTTTGAAAACCATATCTTTTATGATAAAGTTTCCTCAATAAAGATGATTACTATTATTATAAACATACTGGGGCAAATCTAGGGTTGGCTCACTGGGATGGGTTAAACCTACAAAAAGGTTGAAACTACAAATGTTTCCCTGCGTACACGACAAAAAAGATATCAACAACAGTAAAAGGTTGATATTAAGTGCATTAGAAAATATTAGAATACCCTTACCCATTCTGTTTGCGAGTTTAATGTGAGATCACATGCCTGACAAACCCACACTCCTGAGGTATTTTTTCTTAATTCCTTTTTTCTGTGATTTTTAGAAGCCATGTGGTCATCGTACATCTTCAGAGATGTAAACCTTTTGTTGACACATACACTGCATCTTAACTTTGAAGCGGCTTCAACCTTAAAAACAAATAATAATAAGCTTTGAGGACTGCTACAGTTGGAAGTGGACAAAACACTGATCTCCCAGTCCATGGACTACCCTGTGGATAATTTTACTGGTAGTTACCTATATCCCGCATAATAGTGTATTCAAAAGGTCTGGGCTCAAAAAAATATTATTGGACGGTGGCTGGACATGATGATTGGCCAAAGAAATTTTTGTAGCAGGTAAAGTCTCATTTTCTGACAGGTCGGAACGTTGGAAAACATGTTCTATTAGTAAACGTGATTGTATTTATCAAAGGGACAAAATCTAAGATTTACAGCTGAGGAGTTGGCTGTTTGTTCAAGAATAAGAGTCTGTTTGACCGGTCAACATGACTGGTGAATGGAGCTTTTGTACAGTCAAGACGCTATTTCAGGGAGCAGAGTCTCCTTCCATCTTCCAAGACTTCTTCCTCTTCTCAATATTTTCTAGGAAGATCGAAGGAGACTTTGCTCGCAGGTTACATTCGAACTGGACATTGTCCACCTTCAGCACTTAAAATAATGGCTGGTCAATAGTCCATATGGCCTTAATAAGGGTAGTCCATCAGGGTAGTCCATGGGCTGGGGTTAGTGTTTTGTCCTCTACCATCACGGTTTTACTCACAATATTGAACCTGTGGCTTATCATTTGTAATTATCTTCTTAAATATCAAGCACATCAAGGTTGATTTTTCGTTCTATGAGGAAATGCTAAGCAGATCTGGCTAGGAAAAACATGCCAAATGAAAGAGATGTGATGCATCCATGGTTCAGTAAAGTGCCCGCTCTAAGAGACAGTGTTTTCAGCTCAAATCCATCCCAAGCATCACGTAGATACCTTGTGCTTCTAAGAACTCCGCTATACGTACCATGGCTGCTAAGCCAAGAAAACTTTTCTTAAACTGAAGGGTGGCTGTTTCGAATTGTGTGACAAGAGCGGGATTCGCAGTAAACTTTGTGTGATTCTCTGCGGGTGAAAAAATAAGCACATGCCCTTTACCAATAAAATAAACCAAGAGCTCCTCCTTACTTGAAGTCGTTTAAGTTTTCGTTTCGATACTTTTGTTTCTGACCCTGTGGCAATTTCTGCAATTTCGCCAAGTTCGTCCGCCATCAATCGCACCAGTCTCTCTCGGCCTCTCTTGGTTAGAATGAAAAACCGCTGAGCTCGAGGGCTCTGATAAATCCAACATGGTCGACAGATCGGCCGACAGCACAGTGGAACACGAAGATACAGAGAAACTACCCTCTTCCAAGCTTGGAACAAAAGAATAGTAAGCAGCATCACCTAAGTATTGTAACATATGTTTTCTCTGCATTTTTCTATAGCCACACTTTTTCCATTTTTATTTTTTAATTTGAGGTCTCCAAACCTTGATACTGTTAATATTTCTTCAAGTTGTTTCTCATGACTTTGGTAGTGTGGTCTTTTTTGAGAATCATGGTCATGAAATAAGGTACACCTTGACTTAAACAGGGCAGTGAAATGGACGATTTTTGTCTCCAAAAGGGTGACAGGTCTACCCAAGTTTACCCTTGAGTGCCCCTTCCCCCCCCTCCCTCCCAGGGAAATCACCCCGACCTTGTTCCCAGGTTCTCTCTGCTACCCGTCGAGATGGGTAGGAGATGGTCTACCCTGATGGACTACTAATGGACTACCCAGGATACGAATCTGGGACATATCGAAGGGAGGTGGATGCTCTCAGGCCTGTAGGAACGAATTTGAAAGTGAGAGGGCACAAACAAAAATTAGCCCTAACAAAATATTTTTTAAATCCAAAAGGGAATTGCCTTGTGTTATTAACTCAGTATTTTTGACGATAAAGTGGTAGTTTTTTTTTTGAAAAATTTTGCCCAAAAAGTGAGGGGTGGGGAATGGGGCATGAGCCTGCTTGGCCCCCCTACTCCTACTGGCCTGCTCTCATTGACTGCACCACCCTCTCAACTTTGGGACCAGGGACTACATGACAGTTAAGTTTTTGAAAAATCCTAAAAAGTGATACTTACTGTGAGCCATGCATGGTGACAGTCCAGTACAGTTCCAATAATGAAGCATCTGAGTGGCTGGGTATCCTGCAAGTCTGGATAGAAAACAAGTTAAGCTTGGTTTCTAGATGGTCACTTTAACATAGCCACGAAAAGTCTGTTATACTGTACTCTTTATTTGGATTTGCAAGATGGCAATCCAATGCATAATTTCTCCTCTTTTATTAATTTTTTTTTCGTTATTTTCAGTTGGGATGAGGCCTACTCAGCAGAGCTTGCCAACTTCAATGACAATGGTGATGTTGGTGAAGTCTGGTAAATGTGTGTCATATCTATTTATGCAAATATTATCTTCTGTTTGTAAACTGTTTATCATGTCAGGAATATTATTGATTCATCCTTCCCCCTTCAAACAAAGTTGATTGTTATTGGCCTCTGCTTATAAGACAGTTACTTTAATAAACCCCCTTAAAAAATCATTGACTAACCCCAGGCTTTCGGACACGACTTTCTTTGGATGCTGCTAAAAGAGAAAAATCTTGCCCAGGAATATTGGAACCTCTCACTTATGATCACCACCACCTCATGAGAGTTACTTTAACACAACTTTCTGGCTACTTGTTTAAAACCTTTCTTCATTATTGTGAAACAACCACTTGACAGATTTTCTAATCTGCTCTGGGGGCAACCTGGGTATTTCAGATCCATGCAACCCTGGCAAGACGATCAATTTGTTTTCTCGTATTTATTAATTAATAAGTTTTTTTTATTTATTTACAGCGCAATATTCATATATCTATATATTTTTACATTTAGGTACTGTTCCTTTTTTAACAGGTTTGGGGAAAGCAGCATGACCAGAATAGTCAAATGGATAAAAAGTAATGAAAAGATAACAAAGTCTTCAACATTTTTAGACATTGGCTGTGGGAATGGCATGCTTCTTGTGAAGTTGGTAGGTTTACTCACTAACAAAGTTTGATTCACTTTGCTTGCTTTTCTTTTCTCAGGAAAAAAGTTAGTTGTTAATAATGGTTTATAAATATAATATAGTGTTAACTCTGCAGTGATAGTCCTATATATAGATTTGAAATACCAGATTCCCCTTCCAATAACATTGAACATGCTTGTTAATCAAATTAAGCACAAATTTCTTTGGTAAATTACATCAGAAGTTACTTAGCGTTTTATTCCACGCACCAAGGTGTTGTGTTTATTTTGGTTAGTTTCTTGTTTATTTCAGGCTCACCATGGATACACAAACTTAACAGGTGTGGATTATTCACAGAGTGCTGTAGATTTGGCATCATCCGTAGCAGCAGAGGAACAAGTCAACATTAAATATCTGGTGAGTGTTTCTTTTTTTTTCACTGTGAAGATTGATTTACAGGTACACCAGGCAAAGTCTACCATGTCCATAGATTTCATCAATGAATTGATTATTTGAAAAATGAATTTGTTAGTCATTGCTACAGCCAGCTTGAATTCAAATCTTTGTTTCGGCATGCATAATGAGCAGTGAATTTTTTGGCTACAACTTTACAGTATTCAGTTGGATGGGAAAATCTTTGAATGGATAAATTGCTTTGAAGACACTATATAACTTATATCAAATTCAAGAAAACTGAGTTGTCAGAATTTTCAGAACTACCTCATGTGTGAATTCATCGTTCAGTACAAATGAATCTGAAATCTACAATTACTAGCCGATTAAACTGTAAAAAATAAATTCGTAAATGAAATCTTTGGAGGAGGGGAGGTTTGCGCTTGACCTGGATTCCATATTTTACTAATTGCTAAGTAAAATATTATGAATCTCATTAAAGAAAGATAAAAAAGCATGCAAAAAAACTGTTTGACAGTTGATGTTATCATAGGATTTTGTTTATTACAGCATGCAGTGTAATAGGTTTCACTAATGTAAATAGTCACATTTGAATTGAATAGCCGGAGTAATACTTTTGAGGCTATGGACCAAATTCTTGAGTCAAAGTGTAACCACTTTACTGAAATGAAAGCTACTGAGCACTGAGCACTAATTATAATATTTATTGGTTCTTAGAGTCTATTATGCTGTTCTACAAGGTGATTCTACAGTCATATAAGTTTCAGGGTGTGGTTGAACTCCTAGAGTGTGACCATTCAAATGAACGCTTCTGACTAGTACTTTCTTGCAGTACCAATAATTATGCTGTACAAGGTAATTCATACAGTAGATGGTCTAATTTATTTGCTGAAAAACAGGTGTGGGACATCCTTAATACAGAGAGTGGTGGCCTGTGCAGTGATCAGAAGTTTGATGTGTGTCTAGACAAGGGAACTTATGATGCCATTAGCCTAAATCCGGATGATGCCACAGGCTGCCAAGCAAAGTATATTGACAACGTTTCCTGTTTACTGACTTCTGATGGAGTGTTCATCATTTGCTCCTGTAATTGGACAAAGCCAGAACTTCTTGCTCAATTTAGTAACAGTAAGTGGGATAACTAATGTCTGTTAGTTAGATGTACATGTTTGGATACAATCATCATTTTGCGAGTGATCTAGGCTAAAATTTTTGTTGTTTCAAAATTTGTTTACTCTTGTTTCAAGAAGAATTTCTAAAGAAAAAGCTGTTAAAACGTAAATACTGTCATTATTTTCCCTCTGCAGTACGTACAGTACAATAATGCTAGTGGGGTCTAACTGTAGGTACTGCATCGTTTACCCTCTGCGAAACAACCTTAATTAAACCGTGTAAACAAATGTTCAAGTAAAAGTAACAAGACAACGGGGAGCTTATGGCGCTCTTACAAGGTTAGAAATGCCAACTGGTTGAAGGCATTAAGTAGTTGGCTTTTTCTAAGTGTAGCTAGACACCACTCCAGCTAGTGTCTGGGGCGGGTCTTGAACACTGGGCTACCTAATTGCCGGCCCCGTGCACAGATCACTCAGCCACAGTATCCCCCTCCCTCCCACCACGTTTATGTGAACAGGAAAAGGCAGACAACTAACAAACTGGGAGAGTTTGCTTTGCAGGAAAGATCAATCAATCAATCAATCAATCAATCAATCAATCAATCAATCAATCAATCTTTATTCCTCTAAGATAAAAAGACATATCTTAAGTTACATCAGCAGTTGAGAATCATAAAAAGAAAGAATCATAAAACATACTGTATACAAATAATAGAAAGATCAAAGATTATATCTAAAAATTATATCCTATTTACAAAAACATTCTTAAATCGATCATTTTGCCTTCTCTGTAGACTGAATTTATACACTGTCGGCTTCCCTTCGATTTTGCTTATGCGTTCACCATTTGTATTTCGTTACAGAATTTGAGTTTCTGGAATCGCTTCCTGCTCCTTCTTTCTCGTTTGGTGGTCAGTCTGGAAATACTGTCACAACATTGGTGTTCAGAGCAAAAAAGTCGTAACAGATGAACACAAAATAATGACAGATAACCACTCCGGCTGTGCGCAAAATTTACATCTTCCTCCCTGTCTTAACAGCTTAAGAGAAAGAGGGGAAGAAATCAATAAACACTAAATTGTACTAGACGAGCCGGGAATCCTTGCGCGAAACGGTATTGGACGAAATGGTTTGAGGGCGAAATGACCATAACCCTGCTGCACCATTCAGAAGAATCCAGCGAATTGTCTGGGTCGAATTAAACAAGTTTAATGGGGGAAGTGACCAAAACCTTAGGAGGCCATTCCGTGAGCCTTGAACGACATGGCAAGGGACGGAAAAGAGAAGAACGAAGTTCTGTCAGCGTGCCAGACCAGCCAGCAAGTCTAAAGAGAAGACTAATGGCTGGGTTGAAGTGGTTTACCACAGCCCCACCGGAACAATAAGCGATAGCTGTGTTTCATGTATAACCGACTTCTCATTATTGTAACTCATATGGTAATGCGCCCGTTTGTTGAGCGGTAGGACTTCGTGTTCACGTATGCCTCGGTCATACCCCAGCTGGAAAGGTTATTCATGTTCTGTTTGTGAAATTTACTCTGTTGGGATGAGCGCTTCATAAGCGTTTCGGTTAACAGAGTTAAGATGTCACATTTGCCATCCTTTGCTTATACTGTCGAAATTATCTTAGGAAAACCTCTATAATAGGAACAATTCTCTTCGCACTTCTCTATTGTGACACTTCACTTGGTCCCAAAGATATCGAACTAAGGGCCTGTTTACATGGAGTGGGGGACCCCGGTCTAGTGGGGTAAGTTTCTTTTGTTTTCACGCTCTGGGAGACACAAAACAAAAGAAACTTACCCCACTAGGCCGGGGTCCCCCACTCCATGTAAACAGGGTCTTAATAAAGTTCCAACCTGTAGAAAATCCGTCAGCGGTGTTTTCATCCTTTTTTTTATACAAAGGGTACCATTTTAAAAACATTAAACCAACAGCATTCGTAATACATTCAGCCTATATAACCGCAGGCGTTATTTTATTTTTGTTTTTTGCGTTTTTCAGGCGAGCGAAGTCAAGCGCGAAGCGAGCGAGGGGCATGCACGAGAAGAAGAAGGTTGTTTTGTTTTTGTTTTTTTTTCCCTTAATCTCTGTCTGCAGAGAAAGGGCACATTACCGGTATGCGAGTGTTTGAAGTGAACGTTTCAATATTTATTTAGGCTTTTACCTTTAACGAGCGCGCAGACATACCTACAATTGCGAATATTCAGAGTTGCTTACGTCAAATCCAATACGCGCGCGCGAAGACAAACGTACAACTGCAAGGTGCGTTCGAAATTTCTCTCCTTTGTGATTGGCTGATGTTAAGACAACAGTTAACAAAGCTGCAACTGCAGGGTGCGTTCTATAGTTCCCTCTTCTGTGATTGGCTAATCTCTTTGCTTAACGATCAAAAGCGCGTGCGTCTGTCCTTGGTGAAACCAACGTCATAAAAAACGAGGAAATTGAAAATATGGTTTTTTTTAATCGACGTTTTTGAAGTGCTTTGACGTATTTCGAGAAATGTTTTGACATGTTGACAACACTTCCCCGCCTGAGAGACACCAAGGGTATGACAGCGGACAGATTGCCTCGTCTAGCATCGGACAGAAGAAAAAAGGTAATTAAGCTCTTATAATAATTCTGTTTACTTCTGGGATTGAACTGGTTAAATAGGTATGACAGAACAGTATATATATATTTTTTTACACCTTATACCAGTGAGGTGAAATATGCACCGGAGACACATAAATAAGTCACATGATCTTGATCGTGAAAGCGTTCCAAAGCCTAGGGCTGAAAAACTCTCGGTCGACGTTTATATTTTCAACCAACAAAAATGATAGGGAAAACAAATGGCGGAATTGGTAGAGTACATCAGGGCCTTGTAAAATTTTTGGCTATATCGTAACCTGTCCCAGAGGGTGGGTAACGGATAAAACCGTCTTTAACAAATCTGCGTGTGGAAACCACTGCTATTGAAATTTTTATTGTTTTATTGAACTTAAAGACTGGGGTTATATTTGCGCTTTAGTACTATGGAATGCACTTCGAGTAATTGCTTGCCTATTCGTGCTATTGAATTCATCTTCATTCAAAACTGCTTAATGAATTTTTAAATTTGTGAATTTGAATGTATTTTCACGATAATGAAACTGATGACTGCGTTATTGGTAGTAGCAAGCAAAAGGTGTCTTAGTCATGAAAATTTTAAGACACTCAGTTGACATTTGATTTTCATATCATTCCAGATTTCGCAGGTGGGAAAAGTATTTCCCAAAACTGTCGTCCAAGAGAAAGTCGACGAGAAGCTAGATTTTCATTGTGTCGGTCTGGATAAAGACAAAAATGTTTCTTTTCCAACTGTGGAAGGAGAATGCTCTCCAAGTGGCCCTGGCGACAAGTTGAGCTCGCTCTCGCCCACTCGGGAATTTGACGACGGGACCGAAGTCACTGTAAGTACGATTTCTTTTTTGTAATGGCTACTTTTGTCAGCCAAGGTTATAGGGCTTTACTGGTTGCCATTAACATAGACTTTAAAAATTTAATGTTGCGCCAAAGCTTCCTTGTCTAGGAACACGCAGCCTGCTTCCCAGGCGTAATCTAACCCCTGTTATTAGCGTATGCAAAGAAGCGCCGATATCCTTCTTTCATGATCTGCGCATTTGGTGATCAATTTAGCGTGGATCACGCATGGTGTGTCAGCGCGGCGGGTTCATTATCCAACGCCATAACGAACTGCGCGACCTGAAAGCAGGGATGCTAAGGATGGTCTGTAATGATGTGGAAGTTAAGCGGGTCCTTCAGGAGGTCATTGGGGAGACATTAAATCATGGCGCTAACAAAGTTCCTGATGCCCGTTTGGGTATTCATGCTAGAGGCTTTTGGGAGAGACAGAGATCTGCATATTTCGTTATTCGGGTGTGTCATCCTAACGCAGACTCTTACAGAGACTTGACTCGAGACTTGACTCCTAAGCAGATCTATAAGAAGCATGAAAACGAGAAGAACAAGAGGCAGTATGCGGAAAGAGTCATGGAGATCGAACAGGGAACGTTCACTCCCTTAGTTTTCACGACCAAAGGCGGAATGGCGGATGAGTGTGTCAAGTGCCACAGCAGAGTTGCGGAGCTGATCGCAAATAAGAAGGGAGAAAGTTACTCAAGCGCAATTTCCTGGTTAAGAGCTAAAGTGTCTTTTGCCATCGTACGCTCTGCGATACTATATTGAGAGGCTCAAGGGAAAGTTACTCAAGCGCAATTTCCTGGTTAAGAGCTAAAGTGTCTTTTGCCATCGTAAGCTCTGCGATACTGTATTGAGAGGCTCAAGATCCAGAAGACGACAGCTAGACTTTGTTGATTTAGATTTACATATCGAAAACATTAGAGCCTGCCCGAATTAATTTTTTTTAGGAACATTTTAAAGAAACTTTTTTTTAATTCTAGTTACTATTACTTTTAATCGAAATGAATTGTTTTTTAACTGAAATGAAATGTTTTTTTTTTTAACTGAAATGAGTTTTTTCTAAGTGAGTTTAATCGAAATGACAGGAGCCTATGGAATGAAATGACTTGTAAGAGGTGCTTTAACCGAATAGTTTTGTTTTCTTTAGCGAAATTAATTGTAAATAGGTTTTAATAGTTAGCTTTGTTGTCATTAAAAGGTTATTATTATTATAAAAAAATTATTATTATTATTATTATTATTATTATTATTATCATCATCATAATTTTATTTTTATTATTTTTTGGGGTGGAGAGGAGGGGGAAGTTTGCAATCTTTCTTGTTACGTTTAATCCGTTTTCACCAGATCTTCTTTTTCTTTTCCTATCTAACCGATGCACCACTACTGTATGTAAGTCTAGGTTTATATAATCATGTATTCATAAAGCTTCGAAATGACACGAACCTAAGGCAACAAATTTTGTTGGATTTCTTAGCAACAATTCCCAGGCTTCGATGGTCGATGTTTCGCTGGTCAGGCGTTTGCGAATGCCTGGCCATCAAATTCGGGCTGTTATTTCTACAATGTATGAAAAAAAGTATAAAAAAATACTCAGCACTGAGCAAAGTATCTGTTCAGCTGGGCTTTATGTCGGTCTTTCTCTCCTGAGGATATTTTTCACAGCTCGTTTTATCTCCCTGATTCTCCAGCAATACACGAGAGGATTTATAAAAGAGTTGATGAAAACGGCCGTTGCAGCGTAGTCATAGGCAATCTTAATTGTTCTTGTGGATCCAATGAAAAATATGTCTACAATTTGCACCACAACATAGGGGAGATAGAAAACCAACACTATACCGTAAATATAAAGTACCGTAAGAGCCGATTTTTTGCACTTCAATACGTTCACTGTGTTGGTTTGAAGACGTCTGATAGGCACAGTTTGGTCGTTTATCTGGCGATGGTGTCTTCGAACAATCTGAAATATCTTCAAGGTGCTGACTGTTATGACTAGAAATGTGGGACAAAAGACAATTGTAAGGATAAAATACGATGTGAAAGTCGCCCAAAATCTTATAACATTTATTGTGATGAAGAAGGCATAGATGGCAGCAGTGGTTTGCAATACACGAGCGTTGGTTACAATCGTGTTGTATCGTAAATGAAGGGTCAGAGCGAGAAGTCGATCAACGGACACTGCAGCCAAAAGAGAAAAGAAGACGCCTGCTGTTGTCCAAGTTGATAAGGCATTAAGCCTCTTCAATGTACAGAACGAGGCAAAACTCTCCTTGAGTTCGGCTATTTTTTCTGCCACGAAAAGCGGTTGACATATCAGCCCGACAAGAAGATCTGAAGTTGCTAAACAACCCAATAGGATAAAAGATGGTCTGTGGAGATCTTGCGTTTTTCCTATCGCCAATGCGATAAGAAAGTTTCCCGTGCATGTTACCAGAGAAAATAAACAATTGAGGATACACGTTAAAATGTTTGCGACGAAAATTTTTTCCGTTTCGTCAAAGTTACTGTTCTTGTCTGGAAAGTACAAACAGGTCCTATTTGTTTTGTTCATGTTGAAGAAAACGCCAGTATTGTACACAAACGGGATGAAGTTGACTCAAACTTTCTTCTGATCGCGATTAAGGTTTTAAGTGCTCGTTTTATCTTAGTGTGCGAGACAGTTGTTAAAATAAGCGCACTCCTACCGAGCTAAAATTATGATGGAACACATTAATTTTATCTGCCAGATATGAATTTGCATCCGTAATCTTGGTAATAACTTAAATAAATTGTATTTTTCAAACGATGATGATGGACTTGACTGTATTTTTGGCTTGTTTGGCGTCATGTTATTGAAAAATCATTAACTTGGTCTCTGTGACGGTTTTGATTAGCTGCATGCCTCGAAATTTTAAAAGATGCTGGCTGCCCGCTTACCCAGTTGGCGTCAAAATGGCGGCTTAATCATTTTGCTGTTGAACCTCACCGAGTGTGTTTAAACTGCGCGTAATTTCGCAGAAAACATCTGCAATGCACGCTAAGGAATTACAGGGACAAGAAAGATGTTAATTGTTGAAAAGTAAATGGAACACGGCTTTTCGTGTCTTTTCAGTGGAAAATTCCGGGAACAAAGGAACATCTAGTAAGGAAATCCTGTCTTTGATACCAGTTTCAGGCTTCTGCGGCCGTTTTTCGGTAAAAGAAACTGATTTGTGCAAATGTAAAACACGATTCCGAAATAAAATTTACCAGTTCTAAGTTTTTCCGTACGCAATACCATTTTCCCAAAACGTGAACCTACTGACTTCCCCATGTAAATTGTAAACAACCGTTGACTTTTAGACGTAGAATAACTCTGAATCTGAAATTGAATATGTTATTCGTATTTAAATTTAACAGCACGGGAAAGGTATTAAACTAACGATATTCTTAAAATTCTGCATCGATGGAGACAATCGTTTGTCAGTTTATAACTAATCAGGTGTATTTTTTGTTTAATTTTTACTTAGTTGCCTGAATTACCCGGCATTCTTGGTAGCCGTCGAAATGGTACCACACCCAGTCCTGATGTAAGTGAACCGCTGGATTTACTGATCAAGGGCGAGGCTAGCAAGAAATCTCAGACCCAGGTTTCCCTCGACGCTATGGAGGAACCTCCAGTCGTCGCCCCAGAAGAGGTAATAAGGAGCGACGTTTTTGAGCGATGCACCCCTACCGGAAGTGAGCCTTTTTCTCTTTCAAAATCCCTTGAGGCTACCAAACTTGCATTGCTGAGAGTCTTAATTCTTGTAGAGACGATTTGCCCAAAAATTTGTTCAAAATCACGGTTCAAGAGTTCAAAAAGTCCACTTCCGGTTAACGTGCATCGCTCAAGGACCTCGCTGCTTAAACTCCTTAAAAAGTTTTCCAGTTGTCCGACTACATTATTTTTGGTTACATTGTTACATGCAGTAGCTGCCGTAAGAAGTGTGTTAAACTGGTATTGCAAACAAACAAACAAAAACAACGAACTGGACGCGTTAAAAGTCATGCCTTTCACAGCGGCACATACCCATCCGTCTACCCCACCAGTATTGTAGTATAGAGCGTGTTGACATGACGTTACAGCGGCCATATTTGTGTTCCAAAACGTGAAACGGCGGCCATGTTGGTGTTCTAAACCAATCCTGTGGATTATTAACTAAATTTGAATAGATGCTGGCCTCGTGAGTGAAACACTCCATAAGTTACTCGAAGCATAACAACTTATTTATTTATTTATTTATTTATATTTAAACAGGTGATGAGGACCAATCTTGAGCCCATCATAGACACTCTCTTTGAAGAAGATGAGTTGTTTGCACAAGACTTTGATCAGGACGGTCTCAATCGTATTCTTTTCATTCGCAAAATGGGCATCTATGTCGAGGTTAGGTTTTTAAAGTTAGTTACAGCCCCCTTCATCAAACTCGTGGTCTCTTCTCTGTAGACGTCGCTTGGGTTATTCAGAACGGCGAAAAAACGTTAAAAATGGAGATTTAACGATCATGTTTTAATAGAGTACTAAAGTGTGACGTCACAAAAAATTAAATTTGTGAAATTATGGGATTTGTCAAGATATTCTGAAAGAACAACGTCCAAGACGCCTACTTGCCAAAAATTAGCATTGTGGGGAAATTGTCTCTGAGATATTACCCCAGTTATGCTTTTATGACTCCATACAAATCCTTCTAAATTTGGCTTGGGTCTAAACAAGTAGGCGTCTTGGACGTTGTTCTTTCAGAATATCTTGACAAATCCCATAATTTCATAAATTTAATTTTTATGACGTCAGCACTTTAGAACTCTATATACGCTTCGTTTTGCGTCTTACCCTCTTTATATGCGATCAAAGCTCTATAAAGCGAGCACCCTCGGCGAAGAATCAAGTGGTTGCTTAACCCTTTGAGTCCCAAGAGTGACCAACATCAATATAAAAATTATTCTCCCAACAATACCAACATACAATCAAGAGAATGAGAAAAATGATCACCTAAGGGAAAATGCCTTGATCTTTTATCAAATTCTCTCAACTTATTCTTTATGGAAATGTACAAGGACCAGTTTGGAGAATTTGCGTGTGGATACTGGGGCTTAAAGGGTTAATAGAGACTTCGTTTACAGCTATTTACTCTGTTATTTAGGTGGTGAACTTCAACCCGAGTTTTAGCGATGGGCAGTTTCCGAGCACCAAAATGGTTATCATATTACATAATTCAAAAGAGATGATCAGGGTGCAAACCTGGTTCAACCAATCAGGGTTTTCTGGCTTGAACCATATGTGCATAAAATCTGGTTAACCAAGGTATTCCTGGTAAGCATGATAAGCCTGGTTATTCTAAGAACCCGGAAAACCAGGCTTTAACCAGGCTCTTGAAGTAACGAATGAACGAGGCTTATTAGGCTTGAAGCATACGTGCAAAAATGCGTGGTAGCCAAGGTATTCCTGGTAAGCATGGCAAGCCTGGTTGTTCTAAGAATCTGGAAACCCAGGCTTTAACCAGGCTCCTGAAGTACTGAATCAACTAGGCTTTTTATTTACACTACCTAAACCTAGCTTGTGCAGGGACAGGTGATATAAATTCCTGACAGAGCTGCATGTTTTTCTCGGTTACAGATCAAAACGAAAGATTATCTCCCAGGAGTAGTATGCACGCCCTTGTTTCACTGTCCGAGATGTAAAGACCACTGGATGGAGTTTGGGACGGTGCCTGAAAACTGCCAGTTTGCACGGCAACCGACTCGTGGGCCCGCCATACAACTGGCCAGCAGTAGAAAGCCTGCTAGAAAACGGAAGGCGAAAAGAAAGCTTGGGTTTGTGGATGTTATTTTATTTTAGGATAATCATTGAACCGCGGTATGGATCAAGAAGTAAACAGCGACTTCTATATTGCGCTTGCGGAAATTTGCTCGGACAAAATCTTTTTGAGTCAAAAATCGAAGTTCACTTGAGATACGTTCTGCTCTACTCTAGTGTGAACGTAGCATACACATGTGGTGGTTTCAAAATAATGGAGAAGCAAAATTTTTATTCGCTTTATATTCTATTTGCAGAGACATAAAGGAAGGTTTCATAGTTTCCGGAAGTGGAACGGTACTCAACCAAATTGACGAAAACGATTCAGAGCAAACTTCGCCCCAGTCCCACTCTAACCGTGGTAATACCCAGTCCACCTTGGGAGAGGAAGCATTACCTGACTATTTGAAATCTGATGACGTAAAGCTTGAGGATATAAAACTTCGGGAGATCGACTCGTTTACGATGATGGAGGCATTCAGGGAAGTAGCGGACATACAAAAAGTGGATAAGGAAACTTATGTTAGAACCGTAGCAGAAGTACTTGGATTTAGCGAGGATCAGTACGATGAATTTGCAAGAGTCACTATCAAAAATGCGGAGGACAATATCGGGCCCAATGACAATTCCTGTGACTTAAAAACACCCACTCTGACTCATCCTCAGTCCTCTCTGTTTGGATCGCACGCGGAGGATGGACTAGGGACAAGTCAGGCACCTACTGCAAATAAGGAAACTTATGTTAGAACGGTAGCAGAATCACTTGGATATAGCGAGGATCAGTACGATGAATTTGCAAGAGTCACTATCAAAAACGCGGAGGACAGGATCGGGGCCAATGACAATTCCTGCGACTTTAAAGGACCTACTCTGACTCGTCCTCAGTCCTCTCTGTTTGTATCGCACCAGGAGGATGGACTAGGGACGAGACAGGCACCTACTGCAAATGGGACAACGCCCAGTCAAATAACTATTAATCAAACTGTAGATGATATTGGGGATACCTTCGGCGAATTAACAGCACCCTCTACTAATAAAACAGCGCGAGCGATTGGCACAGACGCAATGGAGAAATTTAGTGACAAAGCCTCTGTGAGGTCTATTTTGAACATGTCGATGTTGAACTCCATGACGGTCAAGGATCTGCCCGAGCGGATAAGGACCAGGCTTTTGTCGCTACTTCGGTTCCAGAGGAGAAATAGACAAAAACAAGCCGTGCCTCAAAAGGCTTGCGCCAACAAGAACTGGGCCTCTTTTATCGTGAATATCGATAATGAAGAGTCTAATCTTATGGATCTGTCATTCGAGGATTTAGCGAATGACATGAGAGAAATCTCAGTTATAGTAAACAAAAAGAAAAAAAATTTACGAGCAAAGCAAGGTTCAAAGCAAGGAAGATCGCAAGGGCAAAGTAGTGATGGCATGAGTGACTATCATGATTCTCGTAAGTGAATAAATTATATGAATACTTTAATTTCTGTTCTTGAAAGAAGAAAGTTACCTTTACGCCATACTAGGTTCAGGGTAGTAGCCGGACTTTAGGCATAAAAGATGCAAAATCTGAAAACCCTGGAGGGAAGCTAAGCGAACCCATTGGAAAGTCTGCGAGTATAGTCTCAGAAAGTTTTGAAATCAAGAAGCTCTGAAGCATTTAAGAGGAACGAAAAATTACTCGGGGAGCAAATACTACTCGTCTTTTTTCGGCTAAAAACTTAAAGGTACCGTAACAATTCTAAGGGCGTTCACCTTAGATTTTACTACCCTAGGCGGTTTCAATCCACCAGTTTTTCCCTCCCCTCCCCCCTGAAATCTTCAAAGAGCACTCTCATCTTTTTCATAGAGTATTAGTGAAACAAGGGTGGCGTAATGAGGCCAGGATATGCAATTTACACCCCTAAGCAGGTAGACGACCGGGCCCTTCTCCTTCACAAGCGAGTCCCTCCTTTGGGTTGTGATACTGTGATGAAAAATGAATAGCAATTTGCATTGCATAGATAACCTGCCTTTGCTGATGGGGTCTACATTTTCTAACATGATTATTATCATTTTCTGACCCCAAAGCTGAGACAAGGAGAGGTTTTGCGGAAGGAGGTTCGAGAACAGCGTCTACCACCGGTCAGAGACATTCTGTTTTATCGTCTTTTGATTCAGACGAAGAAGGCCCCTCGACTTCAAGGTCCCCCAGTGATGTCCTAGCTTATAAGGAGGTGATTGGTACTCAACTAAGTGAATACAGAGGATATTACATGCCCGCGCGTGGATACGAATTTTATTTTCGAGTGTTCAACTCGATATCTCACTCGATCGCTGCGCGAACACTTTAAGATAAAATTCGTATCCACAAGCGGGAATGTAATATTCTGTTTATCATATAGACACCAATGACGAGATGCTGTGATGCTCTTTTCCTATTGGCTGAGACTGAAGTAGCCATGACAACCATGATATCTTCACATGTGAAGGATAAAATACCTGGAAAAATCCTGGTATTTCATCGCTGTCTATATAATAAATAGAGAGAGGGAGTAGCACATATTCTTCAATTACATTTTCATATGGACCTGGGGTCAATTTAATACAACTTTTGCAAGTGTAAGCGATTGTTTTCAGACTTTAAACCAATAGCTACGCCTGTAAATTACACTTGTAAAAGTTTTAGTAAATTGAACCTTGATTGTGGGTCCGCCACCCCCTCTGAATAGCCCACGTTCGATACATTAAAGTTGTAACATGACTCCGAGGCTTTCTGACCATTTTTCTATATTTGGTTTGGTTTTCTTTGTGCTCAAGTCTCTTCTTCGAATTGTGAGACAACGGAGTCATGAAAAATATGCAATTTTGTTCCAAATGCCTCGGATTCATGTTACAATTTTAATATGACGAACGTGGGCAATTCTGGCAGGTAACCAGTCGTCAGTAATCTATTCTTTAAGAAGAGTATTTTAGCGCGTATCTGCTGATAATTCTCACGTACGAATAAACTTGTTGTAATAATCTGACCTTTTTCACGTTTTAGTTACAAGGTCAAAAACGTTCCAGAAAGAAGAATCCATCAGTGAGGAACAGAACCGGGCAGCCAGATACTCCCTTCCAGAGACTGGGTCGACATTCCGTCTCTGTGCCCAATAACAGCACGTCATTTTACTCACATGACGATGGCGACTCTGGCGAGGAGAACTGGGGACGAAGGGGAGCTCCAAGAGTTGGTTCCAGCCGCGCGCATATGTCAGATTCACGCGCATCGATTATGTCTGGTATGTCACGTGACCCACACGTGAGTGATTCACGGACATCGATGCTGCAAAAATATAGTAGGGCTATGGGAAGTGCGCGTGCGCGAAAAGATGTTTCATTTTCCAGTAAGTTGTGTGTTTTATAATGATAGTACGTGAGTGTTGGCAAGACTATAGAGAAAACGAGCATAGCGTTGGTTACCATTTACAAAACGTTTCTGGAAATTCCGGTTGAAATTCTCGGGAGAAAAGAAATATTATTGTTCGATGGAATTCAAGGCAACTGTTAACCAATCATAGGCAACACTTGTCCACCCAAACGGTCCCAGAAATCATTGCGCCGAAAGCTTTTAGCCATTATCTATACAGTTTTTGGAGTGGGGAATTCAAGGATTCAGGAAGTAAGACTCCGCGTACCTCCCTAAAATGTCTTTTTCAAGATTAAGACCAGGCCTCAGATACAAGCTGATACAACGCCAAAAAAATGCTTTTACTATCTTTTGCAGACTTAGATGACCGAATGTCTTATGGTTCTCTTAGAAACGGTGATAGTGTTTATGACATTTATGACGATGAGGCAACTGAGGGCAAATCCAGTAGAGCTCGCCGCTCGATAAGGAAGAGGGAGAAGGGAGACAGTGTCAAGAGACCTGGGAACTACCATAGCAAAGTCATTCAAGACATGGCAGTGGTTCAAGGAAGCCCTTCAATAAGTTACGTGGCAGAATCATTTGGCGATGCCAACATAACGTATGGCTCGAACGCGAGGTTGAGTCAAGCGCGTATCTCTCTAACGGAAGCAGGCAGTAGTGCTTCCACCTTGATGAATAAGCCCTCTATGCGACCTACAAGTAGCGTTATTATAAAGAAACCGCAGAAGCGAACAGAAACACCAGAAATGGAATGTGCGCTCTTGCTAACTGAAGAAAGTAAAGCTGTAAATAGCATAGATGAATTACCGCCACTCGAACCTGTAGTACTAGAAGCCAGCGTCGCTACAACTCAAAAAAATGAGCAGGAGCTGAATAGGGAGCAGAAAGAGAAGAGGGAAAAGCTTTTTAAAACAGTAGAAAAAAGGAAACCGCTGATATCACTGGAAGATTTAAACTTCATTCACAGACTTCCTGTTTCGAGTGCTTTCACATATTCTTTTTATGAGTTACCCAGTCACCACCGAGACCACAACGAATCTATCAAGAAAGCTGCTGGCCGGATTGGCCGCCGTAGAAAAAAAGAGTCCGGTCACTTTCGAAGTAAAAGCGCACCCTAACCGCGATTTCAACTTGGGAGAAGAATTTAGTAATTTTTTATCTTTCTTTAGGCGTTAAGGGTCTTTGTTGATTATTTGTTACTGTTTGTTGGGTAATAAATTAATTCAAAAAAACTTCCCTTTCATCAAGGGATTTGTTACCATAATAGAGAATTACATTATGAAATGTGTCCTTGGGTAATGGGTTCTAGTTTATCTGCGACAGAAAAATTGTTTGGTTGAGTACTATGACATTGCACTAACCGAGAGAACGTCACCTTTGTGAAAGCTTTTTATTGCAATAACACGCGTCACTGCATGAAGTTAAATGCGTGTTTCGAGTCATGTGAAGTTTCACAGCGTTACATGTACGCTGACGATCGTTGTGGTTCGACATGGAGTCGTCATTAACAAAGCATACGTATAATATAGAAAACTGTGTATTTTCATATTGTTCAAAAGTTTATTTTGTTTTGAAATTTAATTTCGAAAGAAAGCATCATTGCGTTCCAATTTTTTATCCAACTGTGCCCGTTCTCAGGACGACTGATTTTGCATTTTTAAGTGTCCAAGATATTCATTAATTTGTTTAAAGTTTAATTATATGTTGTTTTGAAAGATATATTAAATTTTCAAGGGAACTTTTGATCTTGTTAATTTTAACCACGGTTCTCTATTTACACTGCCTATTCTACATTGTCTTGAACCAGCTGCAACTGAAGGAAATAAGCTTTTAGCCGATCGGTCGCAAAACAAAGGCGACAACACCCGAGCTAGTTAAAAACAGGCCTTTTCCGAGTTCCTCCGGGCCTCTGTGTCAAAACGAGGTTAAGTTATATCATTTTTATTCCCATGTAAATACAACTCTTTTTCACAAGAAAGGTTGTCCACTTGGCCTCATTTTGAAAGGGAGGGTCTTCGGAACTCGGAAATGACCTATTACTCTCAGACGTT